AAAAACAACCGCCCAGTTCCAAACTTCCATGCCTCCCGGTCGACTCTTAAAGGATCCCCCGCGGGAGGGGGAGGCAGGCCTTCCCCTGACGAGAGCGGACTTGTCGACGGTGACGTAGTCCTTTGTGAGCGGGTCGAGCGACTCCTCAAGCGGGTGCCGCCGCAGCACGAGCCCAACCTTGGGCCGGGGGAGGGGGGAGGCTCAGCCGCGAGCGGGGGCAGCGCTCGCACGTTGCAGCGGCGGAGCCTCTGCGGTGCGCGGCTTGAGCGGCCCCGGCTTTGGTGGCTGGTTGAGCTTCCGCTTCCTCGGCCTCGCGGGGCGGGCGGGCTCGGAGGCGACCTAGACTCACACAGCTCTCCGGCTGGAAGGCCTGTGCTGCAGGGCCTGTGCTGCAGGGCCTGTGCTGCAGGGCCTGTGCTGCAGGGCCTGTGCTGCAGGGCCTGTGCTGCAAGGCCTGCCCGCCTGCAGTACACAGTGTCTATAGGAGGCGCCTGGTGCGCACCCCTTGCCTAGGAAGTGTCTAGGAAGTGTCTAGGAAGTGTCTAGGAGGCGCCTGGTGCGTGCCCCTTGCCGCGTCGCCGTGCGAGCGCGGAGGGTCGCCGGCGGGCCTGCGGGCTCTCACAGGTCATGATTAGAGGAAGTACTTCCTCTACTCGTTGCGAGGCTCGCCGACGGGCCTTCGAGCCGCAGCCTCCCCCGCCTCGCCTCTGCTGCCGCCGCCTAAGCTGTGGCCCGGCAGCGCGGCCGCCCGTGGGAGGGCCGCCTTTCCGTTGGCGGGGCCGGCCGCCCCTCCAGCCGGCTCCCCTCCGGCCGCCTACGGACATGTCGGGGACATGTCGTGGGTGTGCCTCCGCACGCCCCTCCAGCCGGCTCCCCTCCGGCCGCCTCTGCCCGCCCTGCCGCCACCTCGCCCTCGCCCTCCTCGTCCTCCTCGCCCTCGTCCTCCTCGCCCTCGTCCTCCTCGCCCTCGCCCTCTCCCTCCCCGTCGCCGCCCTCGCCACCCTCCCCATCGCTGTCCTCCTCCCCCTCCCCGTCCGACTCGCCGTCGCCGTCGCCCGGCGCCGCCGCCAGCGGCGCGCGCGGCGTCAGGTTGCGGTGGCTCGCGTCGGCGGCGACCGCCCGCCTCGCCCCCCAGAGCATGCGCATCTGCTGCGCGTGCCGGCCGCGGTGCTCCTCGGACAGGGCCTGCGAGCGCAGCCGTTCCTGCTCCATGAAGGCCTGCAGGTCCGGGTAGAATGTCGAGATGAGCTTCGAGAAGTTGGTGTCCTTGCGGAGCGAGCGGCGGGTCGCGACGGGCCGCCGGCACGAAGGGCACTCCTGCTTGCCGATGCGGAGGCACTTCTCGATGCAGCCGGCGCAGAAGCGGTGCAGGCAGGCGGTCGCCACCGGCTCGCTCATCAGCTCGAGGCAGATCGGACACCGCAGCTCGAGGTTTAACACGTCAATCTCGACGGAGCTCAGCGCCCCCGCCCCGGTCTCGATCGGCCGCTCCGTGGCGGACGCCATGTGGTCCAGAGCTTGCCCGCCTCGAACGCGTCGCTGGTGCACCGCAGGGGCTTATTAGCAGGCTGCCACCAAGCGAAGTGTCGCGAAAAAAGAATTCTAGCCCGCGCGCCAACACGTACACACCATCTTATAATCCCTGTGTGGTGGCGGCGTGCCGTCCTCCCATTCCTCCCTTGGGGTGTCTTTTTCTTTCTTTCTTTTACACCTACCACGGGGACACAAGAGCTCGAAACGAGAATGGCGACCTCAGAATGATGAATGTATTGGCGGCACATCGGAGTGGGAGACCGAGAGTGGGGCTCGCCTCATGGCCTCTCCTCTTTTCCAGCGAACGAAGGCGAGTGCGAGCTTGGGGAGGCACAGCGCGTCGCTGGCGTCGACTGGCGTCGACTGAACGGGGACGCCGGTGAGGGCGGCAAAATTGCCGCCCGGGGACTGTGGGCTGGGCCGCGTACCGATCGTGTGAATCCTCGCAGAGACGGTTCTGGCTACAGTGGTCAGTGGCATGCATGGTACCCTCCACATTTGCATGCGTCCATATGTCGTACAATCTTGCATGCGTGCAGCCCCATGGTACATGCACGTAGGAGACCAAGACGGTGCGACGGCGCCGCTACCACCCGCCCAACCTTACGCCGGCGGCGGAGCTGCTGTCTCTTCCGGAGTTCTCGTCTACCAGCGAATTCTTACAGCAGGCGCAGCGGCGGTACACCTCCGGCGTACACCATCGCAACTGGCTCGCCCTCGCCGAAGCCTTCGTCAGCGAGGCATCCCGGCGGGGCGGCCGCTACAAGACTGGCAGGTGCAAGAACCACAAGTGCTGGCGCGAGGCGATTCGGTTCGTCGCAGTCAGCCAGGAGGGGGCTGGCGCCTTCCTGAATGCGATCCCCATGCGGGATGATATGAAGATGGAAACGTGGGCGATGCGCATTACAGTTCAGCGCCGCCTCGGCCTCCCGCTCGATGTTGCCTGCCAGGCGGTGGAGGCGGGCAAGAAGGCGCCAAACGGCAAGCCGCACGACGAACTCGGCGATGCCGCAATGGTCAACCCGCGTGCGAAGCACGCGACAAGACACAAATACCTGCTCAAACGACTCGTCAAGACCCTTCGCTCGGCGTGGGGCATGCTCATCGAGATGGAGCCGACTGCACACCTCAGTTACAGTAACCCAAAACAACCTGACGTGGCGGCGGCGAACATCGGCAAAGGGCATGGGCGCCTCGTTGGCGACTTGAAACTTACGAGCTCGCTTGCGTGCAAGGGTGGCGATCGGCTCGGCTGGAAGGGGGCTTTTGTCGCCTTCGGCAACACCGAGCGGGCGCTGCTCGACTTAGTGATAGGGCATGCTGCATGGCCACGGCCGGGGGGGGGGGGGGGAGGGGGGGGGGGGGAAGCCGAAAATTCAAAAGCCGAAGCCGCCGCCGCCGCCGAAAAAGAAGAAGAAGAAAATGAGGGGGAGGCGGAGGCGGGGGCACCTGTGACGGCCCCCTACGAGAAGGGCGACTACCGGTTAGAAGCCATCGTCCTCGCCACAAGAGCCGGCGTCCGAAATCCCCTCCTCCGACACCCGCCCCACCCCACCCCACCCCGGACCCCTCCCCAAAGCCCCGATTGAAAGAAAACGCGAAGCAAAACCCGCCGGCACCGGGGGAAGGGGGCTAAGGTCGCGGTGCTCCATCCAGGAAAAGAAATCCGTCTGCCCGTAAAGACACTCAACAAACGACTTTTTTTGATAATGAACTCGGGGGCACGGGACGCGGCACAAACGGGGCACAAACGCCAGGCTACACACGGGGAGGCACGTAGTACAAACGACTTTTATGAAGATAGGGTCGAGACGACAGGAAGGTAATCAGGCACCAGTCGTGGGTTTAGGTTTGTTGTTGTGGGTAGTCTCAGCCTACCGGAGTTCATTTTATAAGAGGACCCTCGAGTAGCTCTAGCGCAGCGCGAACTCGCCGTCTGAGTCTAGTATTGCCTAGCGCAGCGCGCATCGCCTAGCGCAGCGCGAACGGGCAACTCTTGAAAAAAGAATTCAAAGTACAAAGGTCGCTGGGCGGCCAAGTTAGAGCCGGGACGACGAGCCGCCGACCCAGGAGATTCGGCCCGGTGAGTCGGCTGGCGTTCGCTGTGCATATGCGGACCTCCCGCGTCCGCGTCGGCGAGCTCGGCAGCCCGCCAAGCACGCCACGCGGCGTCAACGCCAGCCGCTCGCTTCCGCGCTGCCTCGCGCTCTCGCTGCTGCTCGCCGGCGCCACGGCCTCGCAATTGCTCGGAGCCGCTTCTCTTGTCGCCGGTGCTGCGATGCTGCTGCTGCTTCGAGGCGTCCTCCTCGCCTCGCTCGCCACCCTTGGCGCGGGAGCGCTGTTTTACACCGCCAGCGTGCTCGGCTTCCGAGGCTGGGCTCAGCGGCCCGGAAGATGCAGCCTGGGCGCCTTCGTGCCTCTCTCGCTCCTCCTCGGCGTCGCCCTCGCAGTTTCCTCCGCCCTCTGCTTCCGCTGGTCGGTTGCGGTGGCTCACGGCGCAGAGCACCGGTTTGGCTCGCTCGACAGCGGCTCTCTCGCCGCCCTCCTCCGCTCCTCGGCCACAAAGGTGTGGGACGCGTGCGGTGGGGCCGTTGAGGCGGTATCTCAGGAGGAGGCGGCGGCGCTGCAGCCGGCCAACGCCTCCTTTCGGCTGCGCTGCGCCGCCAATGACGGCGGCTGGATCGGCGGCTCGGCCGCGAGGGCGGCAGCGCTGCTGGCGGAGGGAGCCGTCAACGCAGAGTGCCTCGCCTCGGTCGAGGCTGCGCCGTTTGAGGCGTGCTACGCGGGGGCGTGGTGGCAGGCGGAGGGAGGGGGCGAGGCGCTGGAGGAGCGGGTCGGAAGCGCAAAGGGGCTCGTCTGCGCCTGCCAGGAGCCGCTCGCCTCGCTCGGCCATCAGCGAGCGTGATCTCGGATAATCTCGGGCGACCTCGGCTGATCTCGGATGATCTCTGCCAGGAGCCGCTCGCCTCGCTCGGCGCGCTGCTGCTCTCGCTGGCGTCGGCCGGCGTCGCATCCGCCGCCCTCCTCCTCCTCGGCGCGTGCGGCGGCGCCCACCTCTTTTGCACGCAGGGGAGGAGCGGGCGCGGCCGCGCCATCGCCGCCGAGGAGAGCCGCAAGAGCCCGCTGGCCCTCGCGGCGGGGCGGCTGCGCGAGGCGGGGAGGCCGAGCCAGCCGGCAGGCCCGGGACGTGTCCGCGACGTGTCCAGGACATGCCTCCAGGCGGGAAGGCCGACGCAGCCGGAGCCCTGGACATGCACCGAGGAGGTGGAGGCGGAGGCGGAGGCGGAGGTAGAGGCGGAGGCGGAGGAAGTGAGCCACGCGCTGCTGCGGGCGAGGGCGGCGCGCGCCTCGCTGGCGGCGGAGCGCGCGAGGGAGAGGCGCTGCTCTCGCGCCTCGCGCCGCGCCTCGCGCGCCTCGACGGGCTCCGTTCCCGCGCCGCCGCATCGCCGTTCGACCGACGACGATTCGACCGACGAGTCTGGGCTGCGGGCGGACGGCTCGTTCGGCTCCTCGAGGGTGAGCGCCAGAGGGGGCAGCATGGGGGGCAGCGTGCGGGCGAGTGGGCGGGCGAGCCTCGCCCTCCAGGCCGAGACGGCGGCGGTCAAGCTGCAGGCGGTGCAGAGGTCAAGCTGAGGCGCGGTGCAGAGACTGAGGGGCTTGGAGGGACCCGTATTGTTCGCAGGCGGTGCAGAGGGGCAACCTGGCGAGGGCGGCAGCGGCAGAGGCGGCGGCGGGGGCGGACCCGCCGCCGTTCGAGCCCGGCGGCGGAGGCGACGAGGACGACGACGCGGAGGACGACGCCGCTTGCGCCGACGGCGAGGTTGGCGCGTCGCCAGCCGGTGCCGCCGCCGCTGACGGCTCCGCCTCGGACCGGTGTGTGGACGACAGCCCCGCCGCCGCCGCGCTCGAGCTGCGGATCGCGAGCGCGGAGGAGGAGCTGGAGGCGGCCTACGCTGCGAGGGACACGCGAGGGCTGTGAATAGAAGAGCTGTGAATAGAAGAGCTGTGAACACAGGCGGCCTACGCTGCGAGGGACCGGCTCCTCGTCAAGGGCCTGATCGAGGCGCTCGGCCTGCCCGAGATTCACCGAGATCCACCGAGATCGAGGCGCTCAGCCTGCTCGAGCGGCTCCCTGTCGGAGCCCTCCTCCGAGCCGTCTAGCAACTTCCCGCAGGAGCTCGACTTGCTCGAGCAGCTCGTGCCGGTGCGGGCGGCGGACGGGCAGGTCTACTTTTGGAACACCGAGACAGACAGCACGCGCTGGTCGCTGCCCCGCCCCGTAAACGAGCCTGCGTCGCCCGCGCCGCCCTCCGCCGCGCCGTCGGCCCTCTCTGCGGCGAGCGGCTCGTCGGCAGCGCGCAGCGAGTGCGGCGGCCGTCTCCGCCCGGCCCTGGCCTGAAGCTGCTCGGAGCCCTCCTGCAGGCGCCCAGCTCGTACGGCGGCCCGCCGCGCGACATCGCTGCGCTCGTCTTCCGGCGCTTCAACGTGTCGGAGAGCGGCGAGCTCAGCCTGCAGGAGCTGCAGGCCCTGCAGGTACTGTCCAGGACACGTCCATGACATGTCCGAGACATGTCCTGCAGGAGCTGCAGGCCCTGGCGGCGGACCGCGACCACCCTTGCGACGAGGCGGGCATCGCCATCGCAAAGGCGCTGCTCGACGTCAACGGCGACGGCAGGCTAACGGCGGAGGTGTTCGCCTCCTGGTGGAGGGAGGGCGAGCGCCGGTGGGACGTCTTCGACATGGAGGGCGAGCGGCGGGCCCGTGTCGAGGGGCTCGTCGCCTTCTTCACTGCCTTTGGGCCGGCGGGCGGCGCGCTGAGCGGCGACCCGCTCGTGCGGATGCGCGCCTCCGCCTCGCGGAGCAACAGGCCCGAGCGCGACGCGTCCGTGACAAGGCCCCGGCCTGACCCCCACAGGCACCTCTGCCTCGTGGAGCAGGGCGTGACCAGCAAGACGTTGCGCGTCTTTCTGCAGGACGCGGACCCGACCGGCGACGGAGAGAGCCTCTCGCTCTACAAGCTGCACAAGTGGTACTCGCGCGAGGCGGCTCGCGCGCACGCGCTCTGGAGCGAGCGGCCGCCCTTGCGCCCTCCCACGCTTGCGGAGCGGCGGCGGCCCGTCCGGACCGCCTCGCGGGAGGACTTCCGGCAGGAGAGGGCGAACGTGGCGCGCGAGAGGCAGTCGATCGTGCAGCAGGCGGCGCTCGCGAGCGACGCCGTGGGGAGCGCGGCGTTCGCGAGCGGCTCCACCATCTCGATGAGCTCGGGCGAGTTCCCTCGGCGAGCCGCAGTCGCCGCCGCGCTGCCGGCTGAACGAGACGCGACACGTACACGAGACGCTTCCTCTGAACCGCAAGACTGAAGTCTCTAGTCTGAACTTCCGATCTGTGATTTCAGTCTGTAGCGTGCTAACCGCGTAGCGCGTATGATCGTATAAAATTTTATGGCATCCGCTCGTACACCTTCTCTACGCCCCCCCTGGCTCCACAACTGTCAGCTCATGCCTCAAACTCACTGTCTTCCACAAATTCGAAGATATAGGTTGCTGCGACGGCCAAATCTGCATACTCGGGCGGCGCGGCGCGACGCTGCCGCAGCCCGTCGAGCGGGACGGACTGCTCCGCAAGCCGGTCGATCGCCTCGCTCACGCGCATGGAGATGAACCGCTCGCCGGTCGCGATGCCGATGCAGCCCGCCCGCTCGCCATCGCCGCCGCCATCGCCGCCGCCGCTGCCGCCGCCGCCGCCGGCAGGCAGCCTGTACGCCACGGGGCCACACCACGCCCCGTCGTCGTCAACGCGGCAGATGTCGGTCTCGAGCCGTGTGCGGCTCGTCACCTTGACAAACAGCCGCCGCCGCGCGTTGAGGAACCGAAACTGTACTGACCGCTGCGCCTTTGCGGCCGCCACAGCAGCGGTGCTCTCAGAGGCGAGGACGCCCGAGGCGGAGTCGCAGACGAGGAGGTCTACCGGCGCGCCCGCGGCGTCGAGTGCGTGGTCGAGCGCTCCAGCCGAAGAGTACGATGAGAACACGACTCTCCGGCCTTCCACTGAAGCGAGGGTCCGGACGGCCTCCTCGTCTAGGGCCCCCTCGCTTCCGCGGCTGACGGTGAGCGTCGACCATGCCGCCCGCTCGAAAAAAGCCCACTCCTGCTCGAAACGCGTAGCCGTCGGCAAGTCGGGAAGCAAAACCACCACAAGGGAGTGCTTGGTGTCCAGCGCCGTCGCGACCGAGAGAGGAAGAAGGGATCTGCCGGCGCCACCCGCCGGCGCCCGCCGCACCATCACAGTCGCGCGCTGGGCAGTTAGCACGCTGGCGTCGGAAGGGAGGGCGTGGAGGAGGGCGACGACGATGGCGCGCATGTTGTTTGTTTGTGTTTGGTTGGTGGCGGTGGGCGTCGCCGAAGGCGTCGTGTCATCAGCGGCAGAGCGCGAAAAAAATAAAAGGCTCCGCATGGGTACAATGGAGGAAATTTAAGTTCCCCGCTTTACTCAGGGTCGCACTCCTTGCAGGCCCAGACGCACTCTCCTACGTGTGTTAGATCGAACATGTGATCGCACAAGTACTGGTGGTCGTAGGTGCAGTGGAAGCGACATGGCTCTCTCTGCTCCCAGCCAGGGATGAGCGGCGTGAGATCGCGGTGAGATGCGTAGAAGGTGTCCTCGAGCTCGAGACACTGCCCGCAGTCCTCGCAGATGGACTTGACGACGAGCACATGCGCGCTCGCGACAGCCATCTGCGGCGTGGACATGAGCCGCTCCACGTCCGCCGGGGTCAGCTCGGTCCGGCCCACGCTAGAGAGCATCTCGGCGGCGACGGCGGGCGGCGGCTCGCGGAAGCCCCACGCGCCGTCGTCAGGGTCAGCCTCGGGGTGGGGCTCGCGCAGCCTCACCCAAGAGCCCACGCGCACGCGCCCGCCCACCGGCGCCACAACCTCTACGTGGGCGGGCAAGGCGTAGAACTGCCGCGAGAGCACGTAATAGCTGTTGTCCTCGGGATCGTCCACGTCGAAGTCCGGGTCCTGCGTGTTGTGAAAGTACTTGACGGTGGCGATGTCCTGCGGCTCGGACGGCATCCAGCCGACCTCCTGTCCGATGGCCGGCCAGGGCTGGACGTGGTAGGGTGAGAGCATCACCGGCGTGCTGACGTCGTCGAGCTGCACCGTGTGGAAGTGCTGCGGCCCCTCAATTTGCGCGAAGCCAGCGCTGCTCAGCTTCAAGCTGCTCACGCTGCCGCCCTTCTCCTGCACGCACAGCTCGGCGCGCCGCAGCACAGTGCCGCACTGCCCAGCCTTCACGGGCACGGCCAAGCACGACGCCCACTCTGGGCCCCAGAAACTCGCGGCGTCATGGATGGGCACCACGCCGCTAGCCGCACCGTCTTGCACGAGGGCCCACGCGACGCCCTCGCACACGCGCACGCGCTGGTCCTCGAAGACGAACGAGTTGCCCAGCAGTCGCTGCTCCTCGCGTTGTCGAATCGAGCCGAAGCTCTCGCCGAGCCTCGGCCGCTTCTTCTCTCGAGCTGCGCGGCGGTGCTGGGAGACGGACTGGCGGCGGCGGTTGGCGTCGGCTCGCTTCGCCTCCGCTTCAGCCTGCTTGCGATGTTGCGCACCACTCAGCTGCTCCCGCTCGCTGCGATCCCGCTTGCCCCTCTTCTGCTCGTTGATCGCCTTCTGGATGCGTCGGCGCTCCTTCATGATGGCTTCGCGCGCCGCCTTCTCCTCCTGGCTCGCGTCGTTGGGCAGCCTGGGCGGCAGCGGTGGCACGACCAGCTCGGCGCCGGTGGCAGCTGGCGCGGCGGCGGCGGTGACGGAGGTCATATGCATGGATTGGTTGGCGGGACGACTTGCGAAGCCGATTGGACGGGGTTGCCCTGTGCCTCGTCTGGGCAAGTCTACGTACGTCCGAAATTTAATGTTAGGAGTGGGTACCTTACAGAAACAAGTTTCTTCCATTGTACGATAAAAGTGGCTTATATGGGGCGCGGAAAACTGCCATCTCGACTCTCTGTCACTAGGACTGTCAGCGGCCCCTCTCTCTCTCAGCTCCCTCTCCGCTCGCCCAACGTCCACGAGTAGGGTAAACTTTTCCACACGGCGATGTTATGGGGCAAGGGAAGGCGACCCTCGCGTCTCCACAAATCCGCGCCGGCCTCATCCGCGCCGGCCTCAACACATAAATGACCATGCCTCGTGCAGCCTGGCCACGCGTCGGCTAGTACTGCATCTCTGGCCGCTTGCCCCAGGCGCCCGAGGCCCACAGCAGGCTGCTCGCCTTCTCGTACGCGCCGAAGAAGAAGATGCCTGCACAGGCAGGCAGGCTGGGCGGCTCATGCAATGTCGGCTCAGACTCGGCTCTATCTCGGCTCATCTCGGCTCATCTCGGCTGATGAGGCTGCCTCCGATCGAGATCCACCCCACGCGCGGCCCGATGCCCTTGAGCAGCGCCGCCGCGCCCTCCTCGGCGGCGATGGTGCGCAGCGAGGAGAGCGTGCCTGCGGCGGGTCTGGCTCCTCGGGGTCGGGGGGGGGCCGGTGGGCGAGGGTCGGCGGGCCCCTGCGGGCGGGGGGGGCGCGGCGCCCGAGTAGAGCTCTCCCGAGGCCGACTTTGAGCCGAGCATCATCCGCGTCTTGACGACGTCGAGCGGGCACCTGACAGCAGGCTCTCGGCACGTGCGCGCGGCGCGCCCACCCCTCTACCGTCCCGAGCAGCGAGGGTGGCACGTCAGCGCCGCCGCGACGGAGCCGGAGAGCGAGCCGCACACTGCGCCTGCGAGAAGCGGGCTCCGGGAAGGGTCTAGGCGAGGTCGAGGGAGGCCGAGAGAGCCGCGGGGCCGCGCCTTGCATCGGCGTGGTCTCGGCTATATCTCGGCTATATCTCGGCTATATCTCGGCCGCGCCTTGCATCGGCGTGGTCTCGGCGCCTTGCCTGCGCGCCCACGCCTTCTTGAGGCCCTCGTACATGGGGAACTGGATGAAGGAGAAGGGGATCTCGCGCGCGACCGTCGTCCAGAAGCCGAGGTAGAAGGTCGACAGCCCGCCCGGCTGCGCCGCGATCCCGCGCACCGCCTCGAGGAAGTTCGAGTACTGGCCGACCTGCGGCGTGGCGGGGAGGGTGTCGCAGACGAACCGTGGGACCGTGCCACGCACCGCGAGAGACCGTGTGTGAGGGTGTCGTCTCGTCCACGTGTCGCGGCCCACCTGTCTACACTCACTACTGCAGGTGTCCGCTGCCTCACTCGCTACTGACCCGAGCCTGCATCCGCTGCGTCACGACGCCGGTCGGCACGCGGACGAGGCAGGCGGCGACCTCGCCGACCGAGGCGGAGCACGAGTGCTGCAGCGGGTGCTCGACGCCGCCGTTGAGCGAGCGGAAGATGGGCTTGAACCCCTCGTACGCCGAGAAGAAGAAGGCGGCACCCGGCGCGGCGCCCAAAGCGGTGGCGAGGACGCCTGTGTAGACGCCGCGGAAGCCGCCGGCCGCCATGAAGCCCTTCTCGGACTGCAGCCGCACCTTGAGCGTGTCGAGTGGGTAGAGCGCGATGTCGACCGTCGTGCCAGCGCAGGCGCCAGACAGCAGCGCCAGCGTGAAGGGCGTGTCTCGTGCACAGGCCGCCTCTGCCTCGACCTTGGGCTGAGCAGGCCGGGCGGCGGCCGGCGCGGCCGCGGGCGGCACAATGATGGTGGGCTGCGCCACGAGGCGGGCGTTCTGGGCGGGAGCGGCGGCAGCGTCGGACATTTGCAGCGAAAGCTCTGCGGGAAGCCTGTCGAGCGACGTGATGTGATGCAGTTTTGGGAAGAAACACGTTTTTTTTGCCACCACGGGAGGGACTGGAGGCAGGGAGGGGAGGGAGGGGAGGGAGGAACTCTTCGTTCTTCTTTCGGAGGAGGTTTGCCGTTACGTTTCGGGTTGCCCGCCAAAAAAAGCCAATTCTTGACTTCGGCCCTCGGGCGGCCTTCTCTCGAGGTCTCGAGATACACAAAGCGGCCAACGTTTCGGGGTGCCGCGTCCTGTGATTCCTACTTCTGCGCGATCGTTGAGTCATGCGGGTCGACGCGCTGCGCTTCACGAGTCGCCTCGTCGCCGAGCGGGAGGCGGACAACCGCATGCGGTTGCACCAAAAGCGTCTCCGCTGCATTGAGCGAGGCTCTAGCTCAACGCGCTTGGCCAGCGAGCCGCATCGCGCAACGGATGCGCTTGCCCGGCACGCAGCGGCGACGCGTAGGGTGGCGGAGGCGCGGGAGCAACGGATATCAACCGAGAACCGGATGTTAGAAGAGCGCCGCCGTGCGCTAGGCTGCGCCGCCTTGCGCGAACGAGAGCGTGAGCGGCAGCTCTGCTCCAACCGCGCCAGAGCGGAAGGCGCGGCCGCGCGAGAGCGGAAGGCGGCGAGAGCGGCGCTGGCCGAGGAGAATGAGCGATTGCGACAGCGCCTCGGCCGCGTCCGGCCCTCCTTTTCGAGGCCGTGATGTGGCATATAGCGCCTCCCTGGGCCGCGCGCCGGCGTCACTCACTTCAACTCACCAAGACGTGGGAGTATGCGGCCCCGGCGGCCCGTTGTCATCCTCTTACAGGACATTTTTCGGTGCTTCGCAGACCCTGTAGAAAATAATTCCCCATCGGGCCCTGTGCGCGCGCGCGCGCGGCGCCGCGCGCTAGTACGCGGTCGCTGAGAGGGGGTGCTCCTCCTGGATTGCTTCGCACAGCGCCTTCGACAGGCATGCCGCCTGATGCAGGGCGGCCATGCGAAGCTGCACTTCATCTGCGGTCGTCGACGCCGAGCCGTGGCCCTGCTCCGCCGCGCGAGTGACCGCGACATCGACCGCGCGGACGGCCTTGCAAAGCCACTGCGTGAGGATATGGTACTGTTCGGCGGTGCCACGCGGCACCACAACAATGCGCGTAGTACCGTTCTCGGCCGGCGTCTCCGCGTGATCCTGATTGAGCCCAGCTTCCACCTTGCTCGGCATCGCATGCAGGATGGCGCTGACGACGCGGCTGAAGGTGCAAGTTGCCTCGCCGTTGTTGATGCGGAGCGCGACCTGCTCAAGGGAGGACACCCGCCCCGTCCACTTCGCCGGCTCGAAGGAGAGGCGCCAAGACGAGGACTCCCTCGACTGCAGGGCGCTCTTGCACCAGCTCGCAATCAGCGCGAGCGGAGAGCTCTCCGACTCCGGAGGACCTCCAAACTCCTCCAGCCTGCGCTCCTGGATCTCGGTGGCCAGATGGAGGGAGGTGACGAAGTCGGAGGGCTTCATGAGCGGCCGCACGGCGAGGATCTCGCCCAGCCGGGCGGCGCCGTCGGCACCGAGGAATCGATCACGCTCGATGATCATCTCACCCACGCTCTGCGCGACGAAGAAGGTCCTCTGCTCGTCTGTCTGGTCCGAGGCGGCGATAGCGACGACTGCGGGCGGAAGCGAAGCCAGCTCGCGCCAGCTGTGGGCCAGGCCAGCGAGGTAGTTCTCGGTGGTGGCCTCGTCCTTCTCGACCGTGTCACTCGCTCCGTTGGCCCTGGCGTAGTGCCACTCGCACCACGGCGAAGGAGCGAGGGCATGCGCGATGCTCTCGGGTGGCGCTCCGATGAGAGCAGCGGGGTCGTAGATCAGCGTCACGGCCATCGCAGCGGCGAACTTGATGCAGCGCCTCTCTTCTTCCGATAGGCGGCGGAGCTCCGACTTCTTCTTCCTCAGCAAGGCGGGCTTCAACGCCTTTGCGAGGGAGCGGATCTGCTTCCGCAAGGGTTGCGACGTCTGTGCGAGCTGCATGAGAGCACGCTTCGATGCGACGTCGCCGTGCAGCAGCGCATGGACGACACTGCCGAGCACGTCGTCCGGCAGCCACAAGAGCAAGTCGCTCTCGGCAAATTTCGACATGTGCTAACAAAAACGCGCGCGCCCCCCGGCGGTTCCGTTGATCCCTTGTTTGGATTGTTTGGATTCTCTTGTGATTCTGTCCGTAAAATTCTCACTTGTGCTCTGTGCTCTGGTGGGTCCGCCCGCTAGTCGAGAGAGATCGCCAGTGGAACAGGGAGTCCACCGTGCTGCGACTCGGCTGGCGGCGCTCTCAAAAAAGAAAAAATGTTGCTCCGGGCTTCTAACCATCGTCACAATGCCAAGCAACCGCGCGCGGCCGTCGACCGGCAAGACCCCTCGACTCGGACACACTGTTCCGAGGGCAAGGGAGAGGGGTAGGCCCCTAGCCCGAGAGCAGAGGGGAGCTTCCGAGACCCACTACAAGACCACGCACACATCATCCCGCGGCCTCGCGGTCGGCGGGATTGCAACCAGTCTTCGCGTGCCGCCTGTCGTTCGACTCGGGCGCCTTGAGCGTCGGGGTGGCGAGCAGGGGACGCGGCTCTGAGCGCCCAGCGACGCGTGCCGGATGGAGTCCGGCCGCGGGTGACTAGGGAAGTTCGCTCAGGATGTGTGGCAGCGACGTCGGCTGAGTGTCTTGTCTTGTGGTTCTGTGTGTCGCTCCTGTGTGACCGTCACCGCCCGTCTAGCGTCCATACCGTGTTGGTGTCCCAGTCGTTGTGGTCGGACTGTGTTTCGCCTTCCCACATCAATCAATCGGGGGCTTCTGCCGCTTCCCCGAGTGAAGCCGTGCGGCTCTCAGCCTGCGTTCTAGCAAGTCGCACTGATGAGACACCAGACACGAGACACGCGCGCCCGCCCCCAAAGAGCGTGTCACAGCAATTCACGGTGGAGTGCTTCGTGAAGGATGGATTGTCACACACACCGAGATGGATCAAAACGCGGTGGACTCGCCACGCGACGGAGCAACATGCGCGATACGGTACACAAAGCCGTGGCACCCACAGCAGGCCGGGGGGGCGGGTTCAGTCTGCACGGTCTCTTACGGTCGCCAGCAGTGCGTGCAGCCGCACCCCGCGCCGTGCTTGTACCAGATCGCAAAGACGGGCAGGCACTGCGAGGACTGGTACACCATAAACTCCGGGTGCTCGACGACGCCGCCCTGCTGAAGGGTGAGTGCTGCGACCGAGCTGAGCGGGCCGCGGCCGTCCGGCCGCTCTGGAGGCTTCAGGGCGTCCCGCATCGGCTCTTGCGCGCGGTGCGCCTCTCCGAGGCACGCTCGTGCGACGAGGACGCAGCGCTCTCCCGCCGCGTTTGGCTCGGTGTAGATGTCGGACTTGGACGAGTTTGCCGCGAGGTAGACAGCGGCGCCGAATAGCTTGCCAAAGTGCCCCCCCGCGTAGCGCGGGTCGAGGCCTTGGCGGGTGAGGCGCTCGATCAGCTCCGACGGCGCGCCATGGTACAACAAGCGCTCGTTCAGCTTGAGGCCCGGGAAGGCTTCGACGTCGATGCGGGTGCAGCGGGCGTCGATGTCAGGGAGCGGCCCCACGCGCCGCTCGCACAGCCCGGCGATGTCCTGCAGCTCAGCGAGGTACTTCTCCTGCAGCCGCGGGTTGAAGAGCTGCTCGACCCGCTGCACCTCGAAGAGCGGCACGCTGCGATGCGGGTCGCCCTGCCGCGGGCCGCGGTGGCGCGTGCGCGACTTGAGGAACTCCCTGACGAGGAGCGCGCGCGTTGGGTCGCCGTCGCCAAGCTGGACAGCGCGCGCCGTCTGGTAGCGCGAGTAGAGGGGCAGCTTCGCGAGGTTGGCCAGCACCGCGGACTCGCACTTCGCCTCCGCCGCCGCATGCGCCGCCTCGTACGGCTGCAGCCGCGCCACCTCCGCCTTTTGCTCATCCAGGGAGGAGAGCAGCCGCCCCACGTCGAGCTTGCCGGCGGCCGCCGCGCTCGCAAGGGCCGCGCTCACCAGCGCCGCGTCGCACGGGCAGTCCTGCTCTTGCGCCCACTTGAGCGCCTCGGTGTTGCCCGCTGCTGCGAGCGCGCTGCAAGTGCGCTCGTCCCAAGGCAAGTCGAAAGAGCGCAGAAACGATAGCTCCGCCACTCCGTGCAGCGTCGCTGCCGCCGCGCAGCACGTCTCGTCGGCGGGGCAGCCGAGAGTGAGAAGCCGCGCGATTGGCTGCACCGCATTGCGGGATCCAAAGCGGACGCCGCCCACGGACACCTCGAGCGCCGGTTTGAAGGCGCTCCAATGGCCAGCGAGCGCCGCGGCGGTCGAGACACCCCATGGCGCGCCGCCCTCGCGCGCCCACTCGAGCAGCGGCACGTCTCCGCGCGACGCCGCCACGTCGCACGTCTTCCCCCAGGGGCAAGTCCCGTCGACGAACTGCAGGTACTCGATGAGCTCGCGCCCTCCAGGCTGCGCTGCGGCGAGCTCGCACAGCCGCTCGCGCGGGCAGCCCACTGCTAGCGACCACTTCAACCGCGGGAACGAGCCAACGGCCGATGCCACGTGCGTCTTGAGGTGCAGCCGCGGCGCGCCTCGGCGCAGCGCGTCCCGGAGTGCACGGCAGCTGAGCGCGGCGGCGAAGCGGTCGTCTTCGCCAATGTGCTTGGCGACCAGCTCCGCGACGTCCCCGGCGACGCTTCCCAGGCCAGCAACCGGGAGCGCCTCCGCAGCTGTGCTCTCCGCCTCCAGCCGCGACAGGTTCGTCGGCCGCACCCGCACGCACTCGGCGCTGCTCTCGAGCGCCACCACGTACCGCCCTAGCCTGAAACTCTGAGCCACGCCCCGCCGCCCGTTCAGCTCGGGGCGGGCCGAGAGCCCGCTGAGCACGACTCGCTGCCCGAGCAGCGGCGCGTCCACAGCTGCTGCCGCTGCCGCGCCCGAGGAAGCGCCGCCCGCCCCTGCTCGGCCCTCCGCCGCCGCCGCCGCTGCCGCCGCCTCGCGCCGCGCTGCCTCCTCGGATAAGGCCTTGACGCACTCGGTGTGGCCCTTCTTCTTGGCCAGCTGCAGCGCCGTACGCCCGCCCGAGGTGCGCGCCGCCGTGTCTGCGCCCGCCCGCAGCAGGCAGAGTACGACGGCGGGGTGGCCTTGGATGCATGCGGTGTGCAGGGGCATAGCGCCACCGTCCGTGGCCTGGTTGACCGCCGCGTCAGCCTCGAGAAGCAGCTGGACGATGCCGAGGTGGCCATTCTGGCACGCAACGTGCAGGGGCGTGAAGCCGCAGCCCGTGGCTTGGTTGCTCGCCGCGCTGGCCTCGAGGAGCAGCCGGGCGATCTTGGGGTGGCCCTCTTGGCACGCGACGTACAGCGGCGTGACACCGTCCTCATCGGCTTGGTCGACCGCCGCACCGGCCCCGAGGAGCAGCTGCACGACGTCGAGGTGGCCCTTGAAGCACGCGACGTACAGCGGCGTGGTGCCGTCGTCCATGGCTTGGTTGACCGCCGTGCTGGCCTTGAGGAGCAGCCGGGCGATGCCGACGTGGTCCTTCTCGCACGCAATGTACAGCGGTGTGGCGCCGTCTTCCGTGGCTTGGGTGACCGCCGCACCAGCCCCAAGGAGCAGCCGGGCGATCACGAGGTGGCCCTCCTGGCACGCGACGAGCAGCGGCGTGAAGCCGTCAGCGTCTGCTT